AAAGTACCGGATGTTCTACAGCTGTACCATAATGATTGTTCAGGAGGCCATCTGGGAGTTAAACGAACTCTACTGAAGATCCGAGAACGGTTTTACTGGGTCCACTGTCGAAACGATGTCGAGGACTGGTGTCGCAAATGTACAAGTTGTGCGGCTGTAAAGGGACCTCAGACTCGTAGTAGAGGTGCATTGAAGTTGTACAATGTTGGTGCACCATGGGAGAGAATAGCCATTGACGTGGCGGGGCCGTTTCCGGAGAGTGAAAGCGGTAACAAGTATTTCATGGTTGTGATGGATTACTTCACTAAGTGGCCAGAAGTCTTCGCCATTCCAAATCAAGAAGCTTCAACAGTTGCAGATAAACTAGTTCATGAAGTCTTCTGTCGTTTTGGAGTACCTTTAGAGATTCACAGCGATCAAGGAAGGAATTTTGAGTCTCAAATATTCCAGGAAACTTGCCGAGTTATGGGTACTCATAAAACAAGAACGACTTCTTATCACCCGCAATCTGATGGAATGGTGGAACGATTTAATCAGACATTGGAGAGGTACCTAGCAAAAGTTGTAGACAATCGGCAACGAGATTGGGACAAGCACATACAACCGTTTTTGTTGTCATATCGAAGTTCTGTTCACGAAAGTACAGCAGTGACACCAGCTTTCGCAAACTTTGGAAGAGAATTACGGCTGCCTGCAGACCTGATCACCGGGATACCACCCGATGCTCCACGCAGTATAACCGATTATGCAAATGACTTGCGGAAAAAAATGAATGACGTTTATGAGCACGTCAGACAATCGGTACACAGTGGTAGAGCCACGCGGCAGCTTTGCTGTCGCACGTATGGGCCGGCTCAAACCGGGGTGGTACCACGACCTCACAGAATACCGGCGTGAAGTGGAAGCTCTGCTTCCGCGTTTCGTCTGGTGAGTGCAGGTGGCCGGAGGCCCAAATCCCCCCCCCCCATCAACATGGTAGCGGAATTAAATGATAGACTACCCCAGGAGGGTACCAGCACCCCTGGAGAATCCCTCGCTGAGCATCCACGACCATGTTTCTCCACTTCTGAGCGTGGGTGCTCAGGCTGCCCCGCGTATTCTGGGGGGGGCAATATTCCGCTCAAGACTAAAACTGCTCGGGGCAAACGGAGCAACAAGACCAAGGCGACCCCTGCCACGCTGTCCGTGAATTTCTGCAATATCAGGGGACTTCACTCTAACCTAAACGCCGTCCACTACCATCTCGAGACGGCGAGGCCGGCTCTGCTCTTTCTGACCGAGACGCAGGTGTCCTCTCCGGCTGATGTCTCGTATCTCTCCTGCCCGGGGTACAAACTGGAACACTCCTTTGTGCCTCGGGCTGGAGTTTGCGTTTACGTCAGAGAGGACATCTGTTCTCGACGCCTCGGCAGACTTGAAGGTTCGGACCTGTCCATCCTTTGGCTACGCGTAGACAGCGACGACCATCCGCGCGTCTACGGGTGCCTCTATAGGTCCCATAGCGGTAATGCCGAAACAGACCGACTCTTCGACCACGTCCAAATGGCTGCAGATTCGTTGCTACAGCAGATCCCCTCCGCAGAGATCGTGATCCTCGGCGACTTCAACGCCCATCACGCCGAATGGCTCGGTTCACGTTTAACCGATCATGCGGGGAGATCTGTTCGTGATTTTGCCTTGGCATATGGTCTGACACAACTGGTTACTTCGCCTACGCGGATTCCAGATGTGGAGGATCATGCACCTTCCCTGTTGGACCTTCTGCTGACCTCTCACCCGGACGGATATCAGATTTCCGTCGACGCCCCTTTAGGCTCCTCGGATCATTGTCTTGTCCGGAGTGTGGTGCCACTCACGCTGAAATCGCGGTTGCATTCTGCAGGCTGCCGCCGTGTTTGGCACTATAGGTCAGCTGATTGGGATGGGATGCGGTCTTTCTTTGCATCCTACCCTTGGGGGCGGGTTTGCTTCTCGCCGGATGATCCCAACGTTGTTGCGGATTCTGTCGCTGACGTGGTACTTCAGGGTATGGAACTTTTTATTCCTTCCTCTGTGGTGCCCATTGGAGGCAAATCTCAGCCATGGTTTGGTCGCTCCTGTAAAATAGCATCATGCTATAAGCAGGAGTGCTACCAAGCCTGGGCTGACGCATCAGCGTCCAGGGATGTAAACACCAGCGCTCTAAAAAAAGAAGTATAATTCCGCCTCTAGGTCCTTCAAAAGAGTCATTGCCAAGGCAAAGTCAGAGCACATAGGCAGAATTGGCGAGAGACTAGTTCGTCTTCCTTCTGGAACCCGTGCATTCTGGTCTCTCGCCAAGGCTGTCCAGGGGAATTTCTGTCAGCCATCTCTTCCATCTCTGCACAGGGAGGACGACTCACTGGCCCACACCGCAAAGGAGAAAGCCGATCTTCTAGGCTCTTTCTTTGCGTCTAACTCGACTCTCGATGACGGGGGAGTACGCCGCCGACCATCCCGCGGTGTGAGTGCTCCATGCCGGAAGTGCACTTCACTCAGCGCTCGGTTCGCAAAGCACTCCTCTCCCTGGACATCCATAAGTCGAGTGGGCCTGATGGAATCCCCCCAATTGTGCTGAGGACGTGTGCTCCAGAGTTGGCACCGGTTTTAACGCGTCTTTTCCGGTACTCCTACTCCCTAGGCGTAGTCCCAAAATCATGGAAGACGGCTTTCGTCCACCCGATCCCTAAAAAAGGCGACCGCTCAGACCCGTCCAACTACCGGCCTATCGCCATCACCTCCTTGTTCTCCAAAACAATGGAGTCCATTGTAAACTGCCAGCTCATGAGGTACCTTGAGGATCACCAGCTGATTAGTGACCGCCAATACGGTTTTCGCCGTGGTAGGTCAGCTGGTGATCTTCTGGTCTACCTAACTCACAGATGGGCGGAGGCAGTAGAGTCCAAGGGGGAGGCATTGGCCGTTAGTTTGGACATTGCGAAGGCCTTCGATCGGGTTTGGCACAAAGCGCTTCTTTCGAAGCTCCCTTCCTATGGGCTTCCCGAGAAATTGTGCGGTTGGATCACCAGTTTTCTTGCAGATCGGAGCATCAAGGTCGTTGTAGACGGTGCAAGCTCCGATTGCAAGCTTATTAATGCTGGTGTTCCACAGGGCTGCGTGCTATCGCCAACGCTGTTTCTTCTGCATATCAATGATATGTTGCAAACCCGTAGCATTCATTGCTATGCAGATGACAGCACTGGTGATGCTCTTTTACACCGGCCGAGCAAATATTTCTCGGGAAAACGTCTCTGAGTGCCGGGACAAACTTGTGTCTGAAGTCGAGTCTCTGCTGGACAGAGTCTCGGATTGGGGGCGACTAAATCTAGTCCAGTTTAACCCCCAGAAGACACAAGTTTGCGCGTTAACCGCTAAAAAGAACCCCTTTGTCGTATCCCCTCAGTTTCAAGGCACTCCCCCTTGTTGCCTCAGCCAGTATCGGAATCCTCGGCGTCGACATATCGAGTGACGTGCAGTTTCGTGGTCACTTGGAAGGGAAGGCCAAATTGGCCTCTAAAAAGCTTGGCGTGCTCAGCAGAGCGGGACAGTATTTCATGCCGGCACACCGCCTGCAACTTTACAAGGCGCAGGTTCGGCCGCTCATGGAATACTGTTCCCATCTCTGGGCTGGGGCTCCCTAGTACCAGCTCCTTCCACTTGACCGCATCCAGCGCAGAGCGGCTCGAATCGTCGACGACCGAGTGCTTTCCGATCGGCTCGATTCACTGGCGCTGCGAAGAGATGTTGCATCTCTTTGCGTATTTTATCGCATCTATCACGGGGAGTGCTCTGAGGAATTGTTCGGATTAATCCCAGCCGCCAAATTTCGTGAACGCACTACACGGCAAACGTCTCGATACCATCCACACCATCTGGATGCTTGGCGGTCCACCACTGTACGTTTCAAAAGGAGTTTTCTTCCGCGTACAACCTCTCTGTGGAATAATTTACCACCGGTGATTTTTCCGGACCGATACGACCTGGGGACCTTCAAGAAAAGAGCTTACTCCTTTCTAAAGGGCCGGCAACGCACCTGCAATTCCCCTGGTGTTGCGGTTGATCATGGGCGGCGGTAGTCACTTAACATCAGGTGAGCCACATGCTCGTTTGCCCCCTCTTCTATAAAAAAAAAAAAAAAAAAAAAAAATCGGGCCAGCAAATGTCTGAAAAGATGAAAACCCGGTATGACCGCAAAATGAACAACAAAGGTTTCGACGAAGGTTCACTTGTGTGGTTGCACAATCCAGTCCGCAGCAAAGGGAAATCTCCTAAGCTTCAAGCTAAATGGGACGGCCCGTACCGGATTGTAACCAGGATCAACGATGTGACCTACCGGATACAGAAAGGCGCAAGAGGGACTCCTAAGATCGTCCATGTGGATCGCTTGGCGCGTTATTATGGGACCGATAATGCTCGGGACGAGCATGTCTTAGGAGGGGGCAGTGTTGCATGAATAAGTCAACTAGCGCCATCTAGTGTTAGGAACGAGGGCGAGGGGAGCATTGAGAAAATGACATCACAAATCGCTCAACTGACAGCGCCTAGTCGAAACTCGAACGCTCGGTACCTTCCGCGTGTTTACTTGAACATTCTGGATATTTCTTTGCTAATTCAAATATATAGGCGCTGCAAGATGCGATCGAGGCGGTGTTGATTTGGGTGAAACAAGCGAAGCTTCGGAGTGGAATTAAGTGAATTAGTGTGTTTAATTATTAGTGTTTTAACTTTAATTTGTGTAAAGTAAATTAAAGTGTTAATTTAGGTAATTTTATCGGCAACTTTTATTGTCACGAACCTCAAGCTCGTAACACTATTTACGAAAGCAACATTCTATGGATGTGTCGTTCGTGACATCGTATTTTATATAGGTATTATATAAACACATATCCAGTGTCCCGCTACGTTTATTTCTTTTGCACAGACAAAGTTTACACCATTCTCTCACTACTTGTCTTCTAAATATTTTAATTTGTTTGTTCTAGCATACTTTGGGAAACGAACTTCTGTGTTGCGACTTAAGACCGCCTTGAGAACCGATGAGCGTGTCCGACTAATGAATGAGATTCTGTCCGGTATACAGGTCATCAAAATGTACACATGGGAGAAACCGTTCGCGGATCTCGTGGCTAAAGCGCGGAAGTAAGTAAGCGTTAATGAATTTTAAAATCTTTTAAGGGAATGAAAGTGTAAAATGGTGCTCCAAAGAAATTTGGAAATTAGGGAAACATATTTTTCATATTCCCGAATTTCTGAGAAAATGTAATATGCAGAACTTGAAAAGCAAAAAGATCACTGCGGTGTTAGCCAAGTTAACTTCTACAATCTTTATTGTCAATAGAAAATTATAAAAATGAATTGGAATGACATTACCTCCACTTATATAGTAGTTAAAGTACTCCAAATAAGGGGCTAATCTTTATATGGAGGGCTTGGCTGTTAATTTGACGCTGGCATTCAGTTAGACGCCTAGACTGATCCTTTATCAATCATTTTTCTTTTAATTTTCTAACGAATTTGTAATGATGTTACATTAATGTTTTATTGGTGAACATAAGAATCAAGTCAAGACTTGAACAGAAGGGAATCTTATCATCCTATTTTAGACTGCGGACTGGCAGTGTGCTGCTATCGAACAGCTTATCCAAATGTTAATCGTGGTGTATATGCCAAATCCTTCCAGCTTTAATGACGCCTGCATATTGCAGATGACTGCCGGTTGTGATGGAACCCTATTTTGTTGTTCTGTTAGAAAATTAAAAACATTGCAGTATAAAGTATTATAGTTTGCAGTTTTATTGTACCTCGACATTATCACAATGGCAAATAGGCTAAATATGGCAATTATCAAAGAAATTTTCAAAGAATCTAAAGTAAACGTTCTACGACGCTTGTAGATCTTTACGTGCAGGTCAAGGTTGTTTTGCGCTACGTAGCAATTAATGATCGCACTTAAATTTATTCTTACTGGAAGAATCACAATTGAGATGTTAATTATAATACTATATTTTTATGAAACGAAATTACTAAAATAACTAAATTACTTTGGTAATTTTGCTTCATGTAATTTAAGTTTAGATTTAATTTTATTAATACGGATACGAAAGGAAAACCTACTACAAGCCGCCTAACTAAGAAGTTTAGTCAATTTTAACCAACCGTCAAGTGTAATATTCTACAAAATGCAGGAGTATACAAGCTGGTGACGAATGTGGTCTCCCTTACATAGGACAAAATATTTGTAAAAGCCTGCGTAATAGAATGTATAGCTGACGTGAAGTACCGACGCTTCGGGAAGTCTGCAATCTATGAACATGTTTAAGATCGTTCCCGCCATTACATTAGATTTGATAGACCACAAATCCTCGCAAAAAAAAACATCGTAATTTCATTAGAGAACACATGGGTGCAGCCATCTGCATACTGTAAGCTGATTCTGCGTAGATCGGACTAAAAAGCTGGTAGCCAGCCAGGTTAACAATGATATCAGTACCACCACCTCAGTCACGGGGGGTGATCATGGGTGCTGTGGGGAATTTAATAAGTCAAAATTAAACGCGATAAAATCTGTAAAATTAGTTTCAATTAATACTATTTTATTCTTGCATTGTAAAATGAACAAATATTTTATGCGTTTCACCAAATTGTATTTTATTGTGTTGTTCAAGTTCACAAAATTGTATCTTATTGTTTCAGACAGGAAATCAAACAGATCCGCGCGACGTCGTACATCCGGGGCGTTTTAACGTCGTTCATAATGTTTACGACGCGCATCTGCCTCTTCTTCTCCATTTTAGCTTTCGTGCTAGGTCAGAATAACGTCATTACTGCCAAGCAAGTGTTCGTTGTAACCAGCTTCTACAACATTCTGCGACAGACTATGACTGTGTTCTTTCCACAGGGTAAGTCAAATCCATTGTAAAATTTTGAAGTTCCTAACCTATTTTAAAATAGGAAGGGTTTGCTCGACTATTGTTTTCGAGGCAATCACAAAACTAACGTGAGAAATTACATCTTACTTTTAGATCTACAGAACGTATAATCTTAAGTGAGATTTCTTATATATATTTGATTCTTAAACTTCGTTTTTATGTTAAAGCAATGCCTGTAGTTTTCACGCCGTAGGTTTAGTTCACAGTCATGATTTCTACTGTGGGAAGTTAGAATGTGTCAAGAAAGGCACGTATATGTAATATGTATGGTAGTGAAAATTGGATGTGGCAGAAGATGCACGAGAGTAGAATAAATGCTGTAGTAATGCGGTCATTAAGAAGTATGTTAGGGCTGAATCTGTATTACAGGGTGAGAAATCGTGTGATAAGAGAAAAGAGTGGTTTGCAAGATGATGTTGTGACCAGGATTAAGGAAGGAATGCTTCGATGGTTTGGTCACGTGGAAAGAATGAACAAAGAAAGAGTGACAAAGCAAGTTGGTTAAAATATAGTCGGGAAGTGATACTCGTCGAATGTTTATCAACCAAATTGGAGATATATCGAAAATAGGGCCAGATTACCTTAACAGACGATCATGTATGCGTAGGTATATGGATGTAAAGGAGACAGTAGAGGTGTGTTAGGTGGTGTTAGGTACCAAATGTAAGGCCGTAATCTCTGCCTACTCCTCTGGGTGACAGACTGACAGACGTGAGTATTTATGTTTGTTATGTATGTATGTATGACCAGAAGTCAACAAATACATATCAAATATCTTTTCTATATAACCATAAACTAAATAAGTTACCTACCATCCTTGTTTTATTTAAAAATGGCAACGTGTTGTTTTTTTTTATTGTTTTAAGTTATTATATATAAATTATCACGAAATAGCAACTGGTGCTAACGATATTAAAATAATTTAAGGTATTGCTCAAGTAGCTGAAGCATCAATATCGATTAAACGTCTTCAAAGCTTTATGCTTTACGAGGATACAACTAAACCAGTGCCGGGCCTTGCGGAGATACAGACCGCCGCCAAGAAAAAACCAAAAGAAGAAGATAAAAGCAAAGAAGATATCATTACCGCTGAAGATAAATTTGAATCAACAGATGAAAAGAAACCAGAGACAGAAGTGGCTGAAAGTAGCGAGCAAAAGGATGAAGCTAAGGGTAATGGTAAGTATCAATATTTAATGTCAAAGATCGTAAAGAAGAATGACCATTCATTAATTAAAACTACTTTTACGGATTTTATCGCGTTTATTTTACTTTCAAGAAGGAAGTCTGCAGTTTGCGATCATATCTTAGACGGCCCCAACCAATACATCAGATTTGATAGACCACAAATCCTCGCGAAAGAACACCGATTCCTGCCAAGAATGATGTGTGAGGCTATTGAAATTAAAAAACATCCGAATTTCAATAGAGAAGGAGGCTGTACGCCACCTGCTTGGGATCCCATAATCAATAAAATTAAAACTAAACCCAAGCATACCACTGCAAGACCTCAGGACATAGTCAGTTCATTTTGCATAAATCGGACCATAAACAATAATTAAAAAAGCTGAAGGTACTCCGGGTTTAACAACGACATTGAGACGTCAGTCATCTCAGTCCCCCCGTGACCATGGGTGCTGGAAAGCACCCGAAACGTCGGGAATTAAAAATAAAAGTAATTAAAAGTAAAATAAACGCGATAAAATCCGTAAAAGTAGTTTTAATCAATGTGTAGTGTTCGCGTAAATATAAGAAATCATGTAGACCATTCATTATGTTTTTTACAGAATAAAGGTGACGAGTACTCAGTCCACCTGATGGTATGTAGATTATTGGATTATTGGTGGCACATATTCCCCGTTGTACTAATTTAAATTTATCCTTTATTAAGAATCAAATGCAGATGCAGAAAAAGTATTTCCGGTTCTCAACACGCCATACGAAACACAGTTGTTCCTTCCCCGGTCGGGCCGACCCATTTGTGATACAACCACAATATTATATACATAGCTGCAGCATTGCTCTACCATGTATCAAATTATATTAATTTATAAATAATTTGATTCGTTATAAATCTTTTTTAACTCCCCCTTACACCCCAATCGTAAGTGTAAATTAAAATATTTGTTTGCAGGCAATGTTAGCGCTCGCTGTAAATTTCACATTACGCGAGCAAACCGGGTTCGATCCCCGCCGGCACCAATGAAATTGTTAATTGCAATTTTAAGTGCTGATTTACCACGTGCTCGGCGGTGAAGGAAAACATCGTGAGGAAACCTGCATGTCTGAGAAATAAGAAAAAAAATATTTCGAAGACATGTGAAGTTCGGCAACAAGCATTGGGGCAGCGTGGCGGACTATTCCTTGCCCTAAAACCCTCCCAGAAATGAGAGGAGGCCTGTGCCCAGCAGTAGAACATATATAGGCTGTAACTTTACTTTTTTTTTTAGGCAATGTTAGTCTTGCTCCTCTAGAATCGGGCGAAGACGATGATGAAGAGTTGGCCACGCGCGTGGATCAAGACGCGCGGGGGGTGCGGCTGCGGCACGCCACCGCCAAGTGGATCGCGGCGCACGCGGAGAACACGCTCACAGACATGTCGCTCACCATCAAGCCCGGCAAGTGAGTCATAAAATATTTTGACGTCCATCCTTAAGTCCCACCTGCGGTGTTAAACGTGCTTGCAATAGAAAAACGCGAGGTTTTTTGAACGCTGTTTGAATTTAAAAAAAAAACGACGGGTTGCACTCCGGGAGTGCCGGCAGAAGTGAAAACTTGAATATTAACGTTGTGCATTTTTGATATTTTGGAATGATTAGGGAATAATTTTGCACGAATTGCTTTAATTATCACACACGAACATACGCGCAAGCGCCCTGCGCCGCCTAAAATGAAACAGCAAGCTCAGGCATACATTTTCGCCGCGCCGTAGAAAGAAAGGGGTATACTTCCTCTCCTACGCCGCGGCGACTGTCTCTCTCTCTCTCCATTCGTCTTACGAATTTTCGATCAGGGTCACGTGTCCTGACGCGAGTTTAACATTTTTACCCATTACAAAAAATTGTACAACGCTGCTAAAGAAGTTTTCACTTCAAAAATTATTGATATTTGAATGACGTGTTCAATTCGCTGCGCTGCTTCAGTAGCCCAAATTAGCGCAGTTTTACACATTTTGGACATTGATATTGCTGCGCGCATCTAAGTTGACGCGTCATGTTGTGTCAGGGACGACAGCGGGGGGAACTTTCCAGCAAAATGACATCACTAATGTTGCAATCGACAGCGCCATCTAGTGTCGAAACGAAGAACTAAGCTTCTAGAAGCCGACACTCGAACTTTCGACGCCTTGCGCGTATTTACTTGAATGTTCTGGATGTTTCGGTGCTAATGTGTATTTATAGGCGCTGCAAGGTGCGAAGGGGAAGTATTGAATTTGGCGAGACAAGTGAAGCTTCGGAGCGGAATAAAGTGAATTATTAGTGTTTTAAGTTTAATTAGTGTAAAGTGATTTAAAGAGTTAATTTTGGTAATTGTATCGGCAATTTTTATTGTTACGAACCTCAAGCTCGTAACAATATAAAAGCGCGCTCGCGAATCCTTTTAACTTGCGCGTTTATTCCCTATTCTAAGCTCTGTGTGAAGTGCCTGTAAAAACTTGTAGCATCAAATATATCGTGCAGCAATCGTCGAAATTTCAAAAAGACATGACGATGTCGCAACATCGTTTCAAATACAGAGATAACTACGCCCAGCAGTTGACCGTTATAGACCCCTGAAATTAACTATTTTTTTATTAAGAACTGCTTTTACCTGCGGCTTCGTCTGCGTAGAGCTGAAAAAAAAATCTGCAGATATATAATAGCGTCTTTGAACAAGTAGTTCAACCATCGGAAAACCGCTTTAAATCAACTAAGTGCTATTATGCTATAAAATATAAAAAAATAACAACAAATGAAGATCTATTTATTTCACGTTAAAAAGGTCGTACGTTAGCCAATATTATTTAATACTCATGGTTTTGATTCAAATGTCGTTTAATATAAAAATAAGTTATGAGGTAAAAGCAAATATGTAAGGTAAAAACAAGTAATGTATATTATAATTCTATACAAATAAACAAAATTGATGTGTCTGTTTGTAATATGGAAATAATTGCCTTTTAATGAACCGAGGGTTACTCAGGAAACCCTCTCAGAAATGAGCGGAGACCTGCTGCTGCCCAGCAGTGGGACGTATATAGGCTGTAACTTTACTTTACTTTTTATAGAGAGAGTTATTTGCATGGCATCAAGACATAAATAACCATTTTTTGTTTGTTGAAATATAGCCTAGATCAGGGGTGGCGAACCTTTATGTATCAACGTGTCATTTTTTTAAAGTAATCTTTAAGAGGGCATATGCTATTTGCGTCGAAAACTTCATGTTTTAGGGTTTTTTCAAGGGCGATATCGTAACGATGTGAGCAAATTATTTGCAGAAAATTACGGATTTAGAAAGATAAAGTCTTTATTTAGTATATTGCAGCGGAAAATCATAGTTTTTAATGAAGGTTTTTTTAGACCGAAGACAATCCCTTCATAGTGTTTTACGAAAATATGCGTTAGAGTTATCTTTCAGGTGGAATACAACCATGATTATAAGCTAAAATACTTTACTTTAAACATTATTGTAATAGAATATATAGTCTTTTAGTGTTAGTTAGCAAAGCTTAAATTACGAAAATATTTTGATTAAAAAACAATACTATAAAATCACCAAAACTGTCCACTTCAATGTCATTTTTTTCCGTGTATTGGGATAAAAATCTATTTTAATTATTTTATCAAAATACAAGTAATGTTAAATATCAAAAAAAAAATTACCTCGTTTTATTTAGTCAATTATTTTATATGATTATTTTAAAAATACGATAAATCATCATTTCATTCATTCAGATTCAGTCTGTACGCTCCGGGTCTTCCCAACGATAGGACGTATCACTTTTTCCCGCCACAGCCCACGTACACGTACGTGTTAATTCACACCAATAGCATAAGCTAGTGTTGCCAAGTGTCCCGATTTGTGCGGGATTTGTCCCGATCAATGATGAATCGGGATGCCAAATGTCCCGAATTTTCACTAACTAGTCTCTATATTTCGATCGATCATTTTGACAGCAAAATTGAATATATCTTATATCGAGCTCTGCATATTTTCCCACCAAACTTGGACTAAATAGGCAACATCAAAGTTTGCTTTGCGCGTAACGTTTTGGCATGGCAAGAGGCAGATATCAATCATGTTTACTTGTTTTTTTTCTCACTGCCTGATGCATATCGCTGGTTTACGCTATGCATCGTCATAATAATCAGTACAATATCTAACTTACATGCTACTGCTTAGATAAGTACATTTAGTAAAATGCAAAAGGCTTGTGGAAAAGTTCTTCCACTTGTCAGTTTCTTCAATCTTTTGTAGATACTGTTGTTTTCAATAAATAAAGTAACATTATATGTCCGATGCAAGGATTTTATCTAGGCTATCAAGGTGTGAGGTATTAAAACCGTTGGAACTATGCCGTTCTTTTTTTAAAATGCTCTTTGAAGTGAATGAATTGTGAGTTCATAAGATTTATTACTATTTTCAAAGTTATATTATTCAGAAAGTTCAGTCTTCAACGATGTTGGGACCAAAAATGATTCGTTAATTTGATCAGTTCTATATAATAATTATAAAACACATTGCGAATTGTGTTAAAAAACCTGTATAACTAATCGCGACTACAATGGTTACAAAAATCAGATTTTTTAGATTGCTATTGTAAAAATTGTCCCGATTTTAAAACCAAATTCCCGATTTTATATGGACGCACTATCGGAAACGATGAGGCGCATAGCTACAGAATAAACAACAGTTCGCGCAACACAACTTAAGTAATGATACTTTGTTAAATAATATTATTTAAATTAATTATTAATAATTTTTCAAGTTTATTTAATAGTAAGCAATTTATAACTAAAATATTTATCCCTACAAAAGATATATTTGACGGCTCCGTGGCGGAGTTGCTTAAGCAATAAGTTTAACTCCAGGGCCGCGGGTTCGATTCCCGCACGGAACAATTCAATTTCAAAGAATTTGTAAACCTGCAAATAATTGTTCCGGGTCTGGATGTTTGTCCTTGTGAAAGTTTATGTTCTTATGTTAACTGCATCCACTATATGAAACATTCTTAGTGTGGAGGTAACATTATTATAAAATAGAAACAAAGCAGATATGAGGCGTGGTAGGTAGCTTAAGGGCAAAGTGCTCGCCGTAAACGCGAGCAACCCGGGTTCGATCCCCGCCGACACCAATGAAATTGTTATTTAGATAAATTATCTTTACATTATGATACAGAATAAATGTATATCGAACGAAATCTGTTTTATATAATACATATTTTTCAATTCGAACATATATTACTTACCCCTTCTAGTTCTTAACTAACTTGGCGTTGTCAGATTCCTTAGTCTACTTACTCAATAGAGTAAAAAAAGAAAAGCCGACTTCAATTTACTACAATAAAATAATTTATACATATTAGCTTCCGATGTCAGGACTAGATCGGATTCTTATATACACTATGTCATAGCTACGACCTCATAAGCTATTATATGGAAATTATCTTATTATTTTAGTTCCAATAGTATCAAGATGATTCGTGCTAGATACAAAAATCTTTGGATACAACCATTATAGTAACCTTGCGCTCGCCCCACCTTGAGCAGTTACGCACACAGAGAACATTGTAGTGTGCTTCAATATTACGCCGTTCCAGAGCGATTTTGACTTGCGCAAATTTGAATATACGCTCTTAATTAGGTAGAAAATAATAGTACTAAATACTGTCGACTCAAAACTCTTTATTTACTAGAGTTTTGAGTTGAAAAAATGTATTTTGCAATGTGTAATGATAAATGTTTCAGTTATACGCGTAATTCAAATGAAAGAAACATTAGTGTGACTTCTGTTGTTGCAGATTAAATGACAAACTAACACAAATGTATTTTAAAATACAGTTGTGTCAATGAAATTGACTATTTTGCTATGCGTAAACGAACTATGCATTCCATGGGGGAGCGTGGACTTGTGCAGGGCTGTAATGATGATGATGATGATGAAACAAACTATGTGTCGTAAGCAATGGTAGTCCACGATGTAACTAGGATCGCGTTCGTTCGTAATATAATACTTTATTGTGAACTTTGTGATCGGTGGCGTGCCCAAAAATATTGTGTCGCGTCACGTGTGCCATTGGTTCGCCATCCATGGCCTAGATCATTCCTAGAATTGTTCTCTATCTGTTCGTTAAGTTTCATCATAGTCGCTTCTGCCATTTGCGAGATTAGGCAGACAAACAGATAAACGTTTTAATAGCATGCAAATAAAACCGTGAGCTTCATAGAAGCCAGTTATTGCGATATTACACACAGACTAGAGTGTTTCAGTTATTTATATTATGTTGAACAATATAAAATCGAAGACATAATGTTTAACAAGGCTGATTAATAAACTTTTATTGTAGATTAATAGCAGTAATAGGTCCTGTGGGCGCTGGAAAGTCTTCGCTTCTACATGTATTATTGCGGGAGCTGCCTTTACAGTCCGGTACTGTACATGTTGGCGGCACTGTGTCCTATGCGAGTCAGGAGCCTTGGCTGTTTGCTGGTGAGTGCATCGTTTTATTTTAATACGCCAGAATTTGAATACTATGCTCACTTACACAGTGTTCTAAGTCTAATAATCCATCTTTTCTCTGTTCGTGACTTGTGACATAACCTATCAGTTAATGGAATATGAAGATGATATGAGCGTATTATTTCCAGTGTGCTGGTCTACACATAACCAGATATGTAATAATTCTATTTTCTGTCTTGAAAATATGCAAATCTTTTCTCTTAACGTCTTTCTGTTATACCCGTAAATAAATACTATACATAACTGTTGCCGTGTGTTTATCATAATTATATACACTATAAATTTTAGTCGAACCATCTTGGACTAGACCAGATTCACTTTCTACGAGGCCGCTTTTTAAAGAAAAAGTTCATCATGAAGAGCCCTTCTACTTCATGAACCCTTCCAATTGTTAAGCCCTTGGACCGTTGGCTTATTCCATATTTCCCCGTGCTTTCTTGTGCCAGGTTTTTATTTGCAGTCTCCCATTAACACCGTGTAGTGGGTTTTGTGTGACGTCCAAGAGTTATTTTCGAGAGTCATAATGATTCATCACGCACGCAGTATTGACTATTTTATAGTCCGCTGAAGGAACCGGTTTTCATAAAAGGCTTTAGTACCATAGATCACATACTTTACCTTTCGGCAAATTGTAAAGAAAACCTGAAGAGTGCAATTTGCCCCTTTGTCTTGCTTATGTGGATTTTGAGAAAAGTCTTTGATTCCGTCGAAGTTTGTGAGCGGTGCTGCATTCACAAAATATCATTATTAGAAAGGTAGTCCATGGCACCTCAATGGATCAGTGCTAGCTAGATATGTTTAAAACAGCGAGCTGCCCGAGTTCGATGCCCAGCGGACATCAATAATATCATAATTTTAATTTTAAATTTTAATCTTAATTGAAAACTAGGATTTAAATTTTTATCTGCCACCGGATATAAATATAACCCTCAGGGATGATATCGCTTCTGCGGCCTTCTTTATTTGAAGCTGAATGTGGATTCTCATGGGCATTCACCTCAATTTCCATTATAAACATACACATATAACAGTTTGTCATTTGTCATTAAGTAAAAATACATTTGTATGTTTTGAGGTATTTTTTTTAACTTCCTAAAGGCCTCCAAACTTTGGGTGCAACAGGACCCCTACTCGATCTAAGATAGCCTTGCTGGTTCCTCCCTATAAAGATATTAATTTCTAAACACGATTTTTTTTATGTTTGTCCTTTTTAAAACCATGAAATATGTACATTGAACAAAGAAGATAAAAGAGAAGGTAGAACTACATTTTTTTTAACAAATTTCTTTGTCTTATCTGTGTGATAAACAGGAAGCGTCCGTCAGAATATACTTTTCGGTCAGCCGATGGATCGCCCGAGGTACAACACCGTCGTTCGCCGTTGCGCTCTAGACCGAGACTTTGCACTATTCCCGCATGGAGACAAGACCGTCGTCGGTGAGAGGGGTGTCAGTCTTAGTGGAGGTAAAGTATTTTGTTTTATTACTCTTTAATTTTAAGGACGTTGACATGTGTGTTTGATCACGTGTTCTTTTGGTTACGGTAGATTTGATTTGATTATAAGTTATATATTTATTATTATGTTTCTTATTCTTCTTCTTCTTAAGTTTTATTTCTTGTTACGATATATGATTATTCAATGAAGTATTATGAGATTTCTCTATTTTATTAAAGAATACGTACTGCATATTATAAATTGTGTATAGTTTTAAATTCAATCCATTATTATGGTATGTTATATATGATTATATCCATTATATTAATATATTCTTGTGCAATCTATGTCTATCTATATCTTCATGTATGTAATATCTAACAACATCCTAACTCATTGACAGGTCAACGCGCTCGTATCTCCTTAGCCCGTGCTGTGTACAAGCGCGCTGATATATACCTGTTGGACGATCCGCTATCGGCAGTGGACGCGCATGTCGGCCGCCACCTGTTCGAATCATGTGTCGTCGGCTACCTGCGTAACACCACACGCATACTCGTCACACATCAGCTGCAATTCTTAAGGGACGTCGATCAGGTAAGATTTTGTATCATCACTTCAATGTGATCTTACGGATTAGTTGCAAGGCGTCATTTAGCTATCCCGTATATTATTTCAAAGTCAAAAGAGCCAAAGTTTAATTGTAGATTTTATTAATTAGGTTGTTTTTTTAATAGAATAAGGGTGATAAACGAGCACGTAGTCCACCTGATGGTAAGTGGATGCTGTGACATCTACATTTATCCTCAATTAAGAAACAAAGTGCAGATGCGTTATCACCCCTTAGGACTAAGATGGAATGCCTCATTTCCGGTAAAACGGGTATCCGGTTCTCTACACTCACCATTCAAAACACAGTAGCATTAAGCTGCTATTTTACGCTGGTAATCTGTGAGAGTGTGGTCCTGCCCCGGTCGAGCCGACCCATTCGTGCCACAACCATAACATAGCTGCGGCGTGACTCTACCACGTATTGGATATGCTGTCTTAAAATAATCCATTCAAATAATACCATCTCTCTATAGTCTAGTGCTGAGCTAAGTGCAGCAGTGAACTATACTACACTATACAGATGATACTGATCTCATTCAATTCTGGATGGTAGATGCAATTAATTGACGGCTATAAGCGGCTTATTAACGAGTAATTAAGGGTTGAGCTACTGGGACTTTCAATTTATGCACAGAACAATTATTTTAATCTGAAGTATTTGAATACCTAAGACATGAATGCGCGGTATTGCTATACATAACACCTAAATTCTTATTCTTGTATGTGAAAATCTTGGCCCTTAAAAAAGTATTATTAATATAGTATTGTTGGTTGAATACGTTGTGTAGATGACGTCCTATTCCATAAACTGAAAAAAATTAAAAAAAAAAGTAATAAAGTATTGACCTTTAATATATTTTAATGTTGAAATAATACTAGTTTTTTACGGAATTTATCGCGTATATTTAACTTTTTAATATTATGGCATAGTTAACCGCGGTTAACTATGACATATGGACGTTGAACATCTCAGTCCCGCCCGTGACCATGAGTGCTGTAAAGCGTTCGAAACGTCGGGTATTTAAAAAGTTAAATATACGCGATAAATTCCGTAAAAACTAGTATTATTTCAATGTGTAGTGTTCGCGTAAATATAAGAAATCATTATTTTAATGTTAATTAGCGTCCAGTTACAAAGACAATTTTACGTCACATAAATTTTTTGTGTGGTATTGCCAAGAGAAGCAGAATTTTTTCAATTTTTTACGTGGTAGAGCCATGCTGCAGCAATATTAGTAGTATAGTTGTAGCACGAATGGGTCGGCTCGACCGGGGAAGGACCACGCTCTCACAGAATACCAGCGTAAAATAGTAGCTTAATGCTGCTGTGTTTCCTATGGTGAGTGTAGAGAACCGGAGACCCTATTTACTGGAAACGAGGCACTCCATCTTAGTCCTCACGGGTGACAACGCATCTGCATTTTGATTTGTAATCAAGGATAGATGTAGATGTCTATGGGCCACAGCAACCACTTACCATCAGGTGGACTGTGTGCTCGTTTGTCACCCTATCCTATAAAAAATATTATAATGTTAATTAAGGTCTAGTAACGAAGGCATCGTGTAAACGTCACTTAATATTTTCTCTATTTGGTGTTGCTAACAGAAGTACGGAGATGGTTATAAGGTTGGTAAAATGAAACACCGTGCATGATTTTAGATTTAGAATCCATGCTCCTAGCTGATGTCATTATAAATATCATTGTACAACAAGCTTGTTTAAAATATTCGTTTTAATAGGACGAATGAATTATCACTTTCATAGGTGGCAGTAGTCAATTTCGTGGTTGTAACGATATATACACAACATTACCTGCCATATCAAAATGACATGATTAAATATTTATAATATAATGATTTGAATGCATGGTTTATGTAGGTACATAATGTTATTTTTAACTGTCTAGTAGAAATTAGTTACCACGACAAATTTAGCGAAAATAAGTATTATAATATGAAAATGTTTTGGTTGATTATTTTGTGATTTCCAGCTTAATTCATATTACTTTATTCACGTAACTAATCCACCTACATATTATGATTTAAAATTTTCATTTATTTTACGTACCTATATTAAATAAAACTAATTTCGTTCTAAAATTATATTCTGGATGTTTGTCTTTGTGACATTATATAGGAAATAGAGAAAATCCTAGTGTATATTAGTCTAGGCTAATGGGGGTTAAATTTTTTTAAATTATCTCCTGTTTCATTTGTTGCCCGTGACTGAAGGTGCCTCTAGGCGCTCGTGTATTGTCACTTTTATTACGTATTTAAGGAAATTGAAATAATTTAAATTTAAACGCAATTAATTCCATATAAAATAGTTTTATTTAATATGCAGTGTTTGCCTACACAATAGATCTCATTAATTTACACTTTTTAACAGATTATTATATTGAAGAATGGTACAATAGCAGCGGCGGGTGATTTCGAAACATTGAGCGCTTCGGGTCTTGATTTCGCAACATTGCTCGCGCGAGGAGAATCAGAGGAAGAGAAACCAAAACAATCTCAAGACACTACAAACACCGAGCTAGAGGATTCTATGCTTCAGGGTAGTTTCCGCAAACGGCAATTGAGTATACATTCTGTAAGTATAATTAGTTTTTTTTTCCAAAAGATCTATAAAATTTACATGTACATACGAACAGTATGTCAGAAAAGCTGGGCTGAGATCTGCTTTAAAAGTAGAAACAGTTTCAATAAACAATTTTCGTAAAAACATCGAATATTTGTAGATTCGTCTAGCAAATCTCTAAACCCTTGTAACGTCTGTTTAAAAAGATGCTATATATCGCTGTTGCGTGGCTGTAAGATATTTCTTTCTCTTCTAGCTTAGTAAATTTCTCTTACTTCTGTTATTTTAATGAGTTGTCTCTTTTGTATATATAAAAAATCCCTCTAATCAAAAATATTTACTTTCTTAGGAAAAAATCTTTATTGTGTTTTTTAATTGATTTAATCTGAACGTCTGGTGAACGAAAGATTACACGTGGGTTGTGGAGCATACCGGGTGGTGTAAGAATAGACACTACCCCATAACACCCTGTGGTTGTCGTTAGTTAACAAATCAGGAGATAGGTAGTTGTTAACCTGTTTGCCCAGCGTGGCAACTATGGCAAACATCTTTTTTATAGAATAAAGGTGACAAACGAGAACACAGTCCACCTGATGGTAAGTGGATGCAAAGGCTCATAGACATCTGAATTAATCCTAGAAAAAAAAAATACGTGTGGCTCTCGGTGACTGCCGCGGTAAAGCTATTGCATAGCATTTTTTATCAACTTATGCAATTATAATTATTTATTTATTTTATTTATGCAGTTAAGTCTTTGATATTTAATCAAGTTACACTTTTTGAGCGTGGTGACCGATAAGAAATTTTTTTTCTCTTATTGAATAAATGAAAAGTTAATATTGTTTAAAATATTTTTAATATCTTACAATACATGTAGGTTATTCAGGAATTTTTATCATTGAGTTAGCAGCTAGTGTACACGCATACGTCTAGTCGCACGCACACAAACACCGTGCCGAAGTCTGCCGAGTGCCGAAGTCTGCCGAACTGAAACGACGTTAGACGATGCACGGCTTTCAACGCCACACCTCCGTGCCCGTCGGAGTGGGGAGCGTGAGGTTTTTTTTCGTTACGAAATTTCTGGATTCGGTCCCCGCGCTCAAGGCCCGCAATAGAAGCTATGCAATAGCTTAATTATAGAAGAACGAGAAAAGTAGTATTCTGCTCACCTGATGGTGACTACCGCCGCCCATGAACAACCGCAACACAAGGGTAATTGATTTGCAGATGCGTTGCCGTAGTAAAAGTAGTAAGCTCTTTTCTTGAAGGTCCCTAAGTCGTACCTTCAAGACAAAAAGGGTATCAAAAAAAGATGTCCTGTCTGACGTATATGCAAATTCCAACTCGGGCACAAAGGATTGTTCTAATTTGTACCCCGCTTAGGAGAGATCTGAAGTATTAGCTGGAGAGCACACCTGTGCTCCCTGTTAAAAAGAGCAAAGCCTCCTTCTCCGTCTCCAGTTGGTAGTGGGCACCGTTAAGGTTTGGAATGAAATCCCCTGATGTTGCAAAAATTCACGGATAAAAATTCACTTGGCAGAAGTCGCCTTGGTGTTGTTGCTCCGCTTGCCCTGAGCAGTTTTAGTTGCGAGCGGAATCACCCCCCCCCTTCCTAGAGTACGCTGGGCAGCCTGATCACCAAGCGTAACGCAAAGGTAAAGCTATACTTTACGCTGGTATTCTGTGAGGTCGTGGCGCTCGCCTCGTACCGGGTTAGCACCCCGGCACGAGCGGACCACCGGCCCATTCGTGCGGTAGCAAAAGCTGCCACGTGGCTCTACCACTGTTGAAATGCAGATGGGTTGTCACTGCTGAGGACTAAGATGGAATGCCTCGTTGAAAGTAAAAACGGTCTTCGGTTTTCTACACTCACCATACGAAACACAACACAGCAGCATCAAACTGCCATTTCACGCTGGTATTCTCTGAGAGCGTGGTCTTACTCCGGTCGAGCCGAAACATTTGTGCCACAACCATAATAATCTACCTCAAAATGAGGTAATCTATGGTGCAGGCGTGTACTTAGTACTTAGGTATTTCACCGAATACGAATATTCGGCCGAAAGTTCGATAAAACTTTTACCGAACCGAATATTCGGCTGAACATTATTCGGCAGGAATATCATCTCGGAATCTAACTAATTTATGTCAAAACTTGTAAATCGCGTGGGATTAGCGCCGGACCCTGCCCTTAGGTACTGAGAAAAATTCCGGCCATTGCTTACGTTTTGACTATTTTTGTGAGAAAAAAAGTATTTCGTTGTTGTTTTTAGTTAAAATTGAAATTTATGTGATAAAAATTAGTGGCGGGAACGGGTTCCCGCCTTGTCGTGGCGGGGGGCTTAGTAGCCGTGGCTTGGTCTCCCACGGTGAACAAAGAGGAACCCACGTGGCTGGCCCGAGGTGAAGGGCCGGCCTGAGGTGGCCGCTCCGAGTGGGCTTGGGGAGCCCACTTCGGATGTGTGCTGGTGGACTGCAGCGAGTGGGGACTCGCGCACCCTCTACCGCTGCAGTCGAGGTGGAGTCGCGGAGGAAGAGGAGTGTTGGTATGGCGATGCGCCACTCGCCCTATCCTTCGCGACTCAAACGGGGACGCACCGTTGATGCGGTGGTGGATGGGCTGCGGGGGGGAGAGGATTGTCGGTATTGCGAGGCGCCGCTCTCCCTACCCTCCGCAGCCGAATCTTGGTTGGCGGCGGAGCCATAGACCAGATCCGCCGCTGGGGTCGGGAAGGCTAGTACTTCTAAGTGCTCGTTTTTCCTGGCCCCATGGCCTTTGTGCATCGGACGCGGGGGCGTCTGTTGCACAGACGTAGTTGGAGGCCGTGGAGGAAGGCGCGCCATGTGTTCTGGTGCGCCTTACCTGGGAAGGAAAACGGGGAGGAATTTTCCCTCTCCCGAGGAGGTGCTGCCATGGGGCGGCAGGCGCTAGTAGGGCCGCGGATGTGTGCGAAAGCGTTCCCGTAGCCCTGCCAATATGCGACAAAGGTGGAACACCATGGGGTTTTAGTCGGTGCGAGTCCGACATAACCCGTCCTTGCCCCCGCGAGGCGGGTATGCGTAGGCATTTCCCCATGCAAAAAAAAAAAAAAAAAAAAAAAAAAAAAAAAAAAAAAAAAAAAAAAAAGGCACAGAAATCGTAATAATACTAAGACAATACTACCATTTCTGTGGTGGCAGGTGATCTACTATTTTGACTTATTTTGGAGAAACTGACGACCAAACTAAAGTGAAATGTACTAATGTTATGTAATATTTCTTTGTTACATTCCAAAACATTTTATCAAGCTTTCTTTTAGCTTTTAATTGGAAATAAATCTACAGTGCCTCAAAAACATATCGCTATAACAAGTAGATTTAACCCATAAATAAAATATACTTTCAATAGTAAAATTATGAAAAACATGGCATTACTCAATTCGTACATTTCAATACAGTGGACACTTTGAGTACTACTTTAACAAATGTTCGGTGATTTAGCCGGATATTTGGCCGAATACGAATATTCGGTATAGCTGCCGAATATGCCGAATACCGAATATGAAACGAATATTCGGCCCATCTCTAATATTCAGCAGTGGGCTTCAATAGGGTGTAACGGTTAAGGGGTGTGTGCCAGGTGAGCTCGGTGGACAACTTGACGGGCGCGGCGCCGCCGGAGGGCGGCCGCGAGGAGGCGGAGATGCGGTCTGCGGGCGCGGTGTCGGGCGCCGTGTACGCGGCCTACCTGCGCGCGCAGGGCCACCCGCTGCTTGTGGCACTCATGCTGGTCGTCACCGTGCTGACGCAGCTGCTCGGCTCCGGCGCCGACTGGTGGACCAGCTACTGGTACCTCATCACTTATTTAATCATCCCCTGTTGTTACACACTCGCCTCTTAATCCACGGCGAATCGCATAGCCCTTTACAACTAACCACTTTTTTAAATTTTATTATATAGAATAAGCGTAACAAACGAGCACACAGTCCACCTGATGATAAGTGGGTGCTGTGGCCCATAGACATCTACATTTATCCTAGATTAAGAATCAATACATCAAAAGAATTACGATAAGTCAGGGGCCGGAAGAGTGCCTTAAATTTCAAGACCAACCCTACTGAATCAGCGTGTCGAACTCTTTTCTGCTCCTTAAGATGATCCTAAAATGTAAGTGATATTATCTGTTTAGTCTGTTCGTAATTTAACTGTGAAAAACAGTGTTTACCTAATGATAAATGGATACCGCGGCCTGCAGATACTTAAGTCTGTCTTTGATTAAAAATGCGCCAAATGCACATACGTTGTCATCCCCAATGAGTAACAATTTCTGGTCTTCATCACTGATTATACGAAAAACAACATTATGTTGTACAGCTATTTTACACCGGTGTTCCGCGTGAAAATCCATATAATATGAATAATAATATAATATGAATAATAATCCCAGTCAGCCTCTCGGGTCATCTGAGGCGGCTGGGACTACGTGGCGGACCGCTCCAGGCTCAAATGCAGAAGGCGGTGCTCCTCGATACCGCCCGCATCGTCCGCCGGTTTCTTTCCCTTTCCCCCTAACCCTCGGCCGTTTGGTCTCCCCTGCCGAGGGCTTCCATCTGGTTGGGCTTTTACATCCCAACCAGATGAGAAAACTATATAGATACCCCACACATAATAATAATAAACCGTCAGGATGGCGTTTGCTGGGACAAATGTCAGTTTGTCCCAGCCGGATATAACGCAAAAACTGACGGAGCGCATAGATGATCTGAAGCAGAGAATCGCTGCTTGGTGAAAGCGGATTCGGCGATATACCGAGAGGTCGACACGGTTCAACCAGAATCGTCTCTTCCAGAGTGATCAGAAGAGGCTCTATGAATCATTGGAGCGACCAATGGTAAGTGGAACGGGTCCAGCACCGAATCAGGCCGACACTGTAGCATTCTGGCGCGGCCTGTGGTCAGAGCCCGTAAAGCACAGCGAGGGCCCTTGGACGGAAGTTGTGGCGAGTCAGTGTGCGGGTATTACGCCCATGGACCCCGTCATCATAACGCCGGATGACGTAGCTGAGGCGGTCCGTGGAGCCCCGAACTGGAAAAGTCCGGGGCTTGACGGGCTGCATCACTACTGGCTGAAGGAGTTCATGGTGTGTCACTCTGTGCTCGCCCGACAGTTTCAAGAGGCTCTCAACCAGAAGTCGCTCCCAAGCCTCTTCACTACTGGGATCACTCATTTGGTTCCTAAAGACCAGGGTACCACAGAACCGAGCAAATACCGCCCCCTCACGTGTCTACCGACCATATACAAGACACTAACATCCATTTTAAGCGCGAGAATTTCACCTGGACTCAAATCAGGTGATGTCGCGCGCTCAAAATGGATGTCGGGGCGGTGGTCGTGGAACCAAGGAACCACTCCTCATTGACGCGGTCATTGGCAAAGTGGTGAAACGCAACCGTCGGAACTTCTCCGCCGCCTGGATAGACTACAGAAAGGCATTCGACTCGGTGCCCCATACATGGCTAAAGAGAGTCCTCGAGCTGTACAAGATAGACTGTACAGTTAGAGACTTCCTCGAGCAGTGTATGGGGCAGTGGAGTACGATCCTTTGTCATCTGGGCGAGCGGATGATGGCTGCGGAGAGAGAGTCCTCGAGCTGTACAAGATAGACTGTACAGTTAGAGACTTCCTCGAGCAGTGTATGGGGCAGTGGAGTACGATCCTTTGTCATCTGGGCGAGCGGATGATGGCTGCGGAGAACCACATAAGGATAAGAAGGGGTATCTTCCAGGGCGATTGTCTGAGTCCAATCTGGTTCTGCCTCTCTCTGAACCCTCTCAGTACCTTACTGGAGGGCTCCGGGAGGGGATTTCAGCTACGGAAAGGAGGCACAAAAGTGACCCACCTTTTCTATATGGATGACTTCAAGTTATTCGCCTCCAGTCGCTCCCATCTTATGGAATTGCTAAACATCACTTGTGAATTTAGCAATTCCATTGGAATGGAGCTTGGGACGGATAAGTGTGCAGTCCTCCATGTTGAAAGGGGAAGGGTTACTAACTCTGGGGGCGTAGACTTATCTATGCCCGTCAACTTAAGGACCCTTTCCGAGGCTGAAACATAACGATACTTGGGTATGTCACAAAACATCGGTATCGATGAGACTGGTATGAAACAGTCAGTTTGCGACGTGTTTTATGCACGCTTGACCAAAGTGCTTAACAGCCTTTTGTCCGGTGTGAATAAGGCACACGCATATAACGGCTGGGTCATGCCTGTCCTCATGTATACCTTTGGCATACTCAGGTGGACTCAGACTGAACTTAACGCCCTGGATAGAAAAGTCCGCACTACCATGACGTCTCCCATAGGATGCATCATCCGAGATCGTCGGTAATGAGGCTGTACTTGCCGCGGAAGCATGGTGGTCGTGGCTTCTTGAGCGCGCTCACCATGCATAATCGCGAAGTGTGCAGCCTCCGTGATTACTTCCTGGCGAGATCGGATGATCCATTCTATAAGGACGTCATTTCTTGTGATAAAGTACTTACCCCTCTATCCTTAGCCAACGAGCAATGGCAAGACCCGGCAGTGCAGAGCATTTCCGACCGGGAGACCGTATGGAAGGAGAAGGAGCTCCACGGGAGGTTCTACAAGGCTCTACATGAGCCTTTCGTAGACACAGTAGCCTCCCTCCACTGGCTACGCTTTGGTGATCTCTTCGGGGAAACCGAGGGTTTTGTCTGTGCAATACAGGATCAGGTTATTAAGACCAACAACTATCGGAGATACATCCTAAAGGATGGCACCGTGGACATCTGTCGAGCTTGTCGCCACCCCGGTGAGTCACTTAGGCATGTTATCTCCGGTTGTTCGGCGCTTTCTAACTCTGAGTACTTGCACAGGCACAACCTAGTAGCCAGAATTCTACACCAGGAGCTCGCTCTGAAATACGGTCTCGTGGATCGGAAATTGCCGTATTACAAGTACTTGCCGGAAGCCGTGCTCGAAAATGATCGCGCCAGGCTCTATTGGGACCGGGCCATCATCACAGACAGGTCTATTCTTGCGAATAAGCCTGATATTGTGCTGATGGACCGGGCACAGTCAAGGATATTTTTGGTCGACATTACCATTCCGTATGACGAGAACCTCGTGAAAGCCGAAACAGACAAGCAAACAAAATATCTGGACCTGGCTCACGAGGTGACCGACATGTGGGGTGGTCTGCCGACCGAAATTATTCCTGTAGTCGTCTCTGCAAACGGGCTAATCCCAGTCAGCCTCTCGGGTCATCTGAGGCGGCTGGGACTACGTGGCGGACCGCTCCAGGTTCAAATGCAGAAGGCGGTGCTCCTCGATACGGCCCGCATCGTCCGCCGGTTTCTTTACCTTTCCCCCTAACCCTCGGCCGTTTGGTCTCCCCTGCCGAGGGCCTCCATCTGGTTGGGCTTTTATTTATTTATGTACTTTTATATTTATTTTATGTTATTGATATTTATGTATATTTATCTTTTCATTTTCATTTATAATTATATATTTATAGAACCCAACCAGATGAGAAAACTATATAGATACCCCACAATAATAATAATAATAACATAACATTTCCGACCGGGAGACGGTAAATGAGCCCTTTGTAGATACAGTGGCCGCCCTCCACTGGCTACGTTTCGATTTCGGGGAAACCGAGGGTTTTGTGTGTGCAATACAGGATCAGGTTATTAAGACCAACAACTATCGGAGATACATCCTAAAAGATGGCACCGTCGACGTCTGTCGAGCTTGTCGCCTTCCTGGTGAGTTATTTAGGCATGTCATCTCCGGTTATTCGGCGCTTTCTCACTCTGAGTACTTGCACAGACACAACCTAGTAGTCAGGATTACACCAGGAGCTCGCTCTGAAATACGATCTCGTGAATCGGAAACTGCCTTATTATAAGTACTTGCGGAAGCCGTTCTCGAAAATGACCGCGCCAGGCTCTACTGGGACCGGACTATTCACAGACAGACAGACAGACACAGACAGGACTATTCTTGCGAATAAGCCTGATATTGTGCTGATGAACCGGGCACAGTCAAGGATATTTTTGGTCGACATTACCATTCCGTATGACGAGAACCTCGTGAAAGCCAAATCAGATAAGAAAAAAAAATATCGACCTGGCTCTCGAGGTGACCGACATGTGGGGTGACATCTGCCGACCGAAATTATTCCTGTTGGTGTCCGTGAATGGGCTAATCCCAGTCAGCCTCTCGGGTCATCTGAGGCGACTGGGACTCCGTGACGGACCGCTCCGGGCTCAAATGCAGAAGGCGGTGCTCCTCGATACCGCCCGCATCGTCCGCCGGTTTCTTTCCCTTTCGTCCTAACCCTCGGCCGTTTGGTCTCACCTGCCGAGGGCTTCCATCTGGTTGGGTTTTTATTTATTTATGTATTTTTTGTATTTATATTATATATTTGATATTTATGTATATTGAAAAAACAGTAAAGAAGCTAAGTTTAAGTAATATATTATGTATAACAGAGAATTTTCACACCACAGGTAATAAAAAATAAGGCACTCATTCTTTGTAATCATTTGTGTGACAGCGCGTCTGTATTTTAATTTTCAGTTCAGTTCAGTTAATATTTACTTACTGGGTAGGTAATTATTAAAATAATAAATGTAGCATTAGTAACTAAATATATATATATATATATATATATATATATATATATATATATATATATATATATATATATATATATATATATTGTCGTAAAGCGACAATTAAAAACTAATGAACCTAACCTAACAACAACGAAACAACAAAAATAGAACAAAAACGAATAATTTATTTAAAATTTTAAA